GCCGCTCATACTGATATTTTTCCGTTATATTGAAAAGGCTTCGCTTCGCTCGCTGCGCTCGCTCGCTCGTAATAATTTAGCATGGCAGTGGAACGCGAAACTATGTGACGCCATGAGCAGTTTGTTAGACCAGTAAAACGCCTTTTGGGCGAAGAACGAGCGAGCGAGATAGTTAGCCCTGCACGTGCGAAAGGGCGAGAGGGTACTTCCAACGGGCTTGCGCAAAGCACCCTTCTAACCGGTCGCTAGCGGTGTACCAAATTTGAACGCAATCGGCCCAGCCGTTCCTGAGATCTGGAAGCGGCATTCTGCACGTGCGCACGTGCAAACGGGGTCCAAACTGACTTTTGCACGGCACCCTACTAACTGGTCCCTAACCGTGTACCAAATTTGAGCGCAATCGGCCCAGCCGTTCTCGAGATCTGGAGGCGCCCCTGCACGTGCAGTGTGCACACGTGCAGTAGCACCTTAACCGCAACACACGGGAATGCATTGCCTGGTCACTGGTGGGTGCCTACCTGTATGCCAAGTTTCAGCGAAATCGCCCCAGTAGTTACCGAGTTATAAAAATGGAAACAAATTTGACACCTCTTATTGTTGTATTTTGCACGTGCACTGGGGGTGACCCACATGCATCGAGAGTATCCTATTTTTGGTAGAAGAGATGCTGCTACCCTACAAAAATTACCGCAAGTCAATCGCCCAAGCGGCTGCTGAGATATGAGCCTCTCAAAATCACTACTTTTGCAAAACAGCTTGAACACCTTAGACTTTTCACGTGGCACGTGCCACGACGGTCACTGAGGTGTATCAAAAGTAGTTAATTACGGGGTAGAAGGGATGGGGCTACCCAGCAAAAAAGACCGCAGGCCAATCGGTCCAGCGGTTGCTGAGATATAAGCCTCTCAAAAGCGTTACAGGCCGGGCCGGGCCGGGCCGCTCATACTGAGATTTTTCCGTTATATTGAAAAGACTCGCTTCGCTCGCTGCGCTCGCTCGCTCGTAACAATTAACCCGCGCCCTGCTGGGGGGGGGGGGGGGGGTGTTTTTAAACACCCCCTTGTGGTTTTTCGCAAATTCCCGTTTTTGGTACACCTTATCATACATCAATTCTACACATGTTGTAAAAATTTCAGACCAAGGTCATTCAAGGTCAGGTCACCAGGTCACTTGAAGTGACCTCACCTCATAAAAAGTTTCAATGTCTGCCATTGCTACACCGAGTGACTGATTGCTTTGAAACTTTCAGCGATTGATAAGGGTAACAGTATCTATAAATGAATGTCTCAGAATTTTGATATCGGTGACCTAAGGTCAGGTCAATTTTATGACCTCCCATTACCTATAAGTCGAGGGGAGAAAATAGAAATGCGCCTCTTTTGGACGAAAGACATTATAAACACTCCCTAGCACTGAATTACAAGTGGTTTAAGCACACTGAACATGAAAATGGTGTCCGTGACCCCCTATTCATGCCCCTGAGGTCATCTCAGGTCACGAATGGTGTCTAACAGTTTTTCGCAAATAACTTTTGATAGAGGCATGCTAGAGCGGTGAAACCGCCTTAGATTGTTCAGCTCGACGATACGGGTCGACTGATATGCAACATGACCTTTTCCGGTCAGGTCATGACCTTGACCTGAGGTCAAATTTTCAAGTTGACCTTTTAAGGTTAAGTTATAGTTCATTCGATGCGTCTTGACGAGAGGAACACGATGCCGGTAAAAGTAAGCTCGTACAAGGCTTGGGTAAACAATTATTGCAGAAAACCTGTTTCCGAAAAAATCGGCTATTTTTGCAGTTTTTGCCCCCTGCAGGCAAAACCGTTGACGTTAGGTCGAGTGACGAGTCTGAGAGAATTACTCAGAAAGGGCGTTAATAGGGCTATCGAATGCGCTTTTCCGCGGCGCTTTAGCTCTATTGGTTCCCGATTTATGCGTTGGCTTCCTGGAAATTGTCGACATTCGACCTGAAAATCGGCGAAATTTTGCCTTCAATGACCTCTGGTGATCTGACCTTTGACCTGACCAAAAAAGTGACCGAAGTGATTTCGTCATTATTTTTGGCGCTTTTTCGAACGCCGCCTTCCGCGTATCCCTACGTGGCCCAGGAGCCGACTTAGAAGGGGGGGGGGTGTTCAAACACCCCCCCCCAGCAGGGCGTGGAAATCCAGGACCCCCAGCCGGGCGCGGGTTAACATACTGATGAAGAAAATTGCACCTAGTGTGACCACTCATGCCCCAGAGGTCATCCCAGGTCATGAAGGGCCCCACTTGTGATAAATACATACATGCTAGAGCGATAAAAGTACCTCAGTTGTGTTAAAGGGACCCTCCCACCTTCAAAAAAGTTTATGAATTGGCATGAAAGTGATGTCGCTCGGTCAGAAAGAGCGAAAACGAATACCTACCAAATTTCACCGAAAATATTTACCGGTTTTCAAGATATTAGACTTTACTTTTGTTTACTTTTTGGGATCTCCGCTGTTCCTAGCGCCTTTATTTGGAAGCAATAGTTTGGCAGCTGAAAGTGCGGCACTTGTTGCGCGCAAGGCAGCATATGCCACCGCGTGCTACAAAACGTTTTAGTCAAACATTTAAAAATCGTTAGATATCTGCGCTGACGTCACACATTCAGAGGGGTATTTCATGCATTAGCCCCTCTGAATCAAAATGCTGCAATTTTGAAATTCAATATTTCCGATTTAAGGCATTTCTCGATGTGTGACTGTGAGTGCCGAAACCGGTAATTGTGAGCCAGGGACCCCATTTTGGCTATCTCAACTCAAATCTAATGTTAAGTAAGGTGGGAGGGTCCCTTTAAGCTCGACGATACGGATCGACTCATATGCAACATGACCTTCCCGGTCAGGTCATGACCTTGACCTAAGGTTAAATTCTCGAAATAACCTTTCATAAGGTAAACCCATAGTTCATTCGACGCAGTGGCGCAGCCAGGGGGGGGGGTCAGAGGGTCCGCTGACCTCCCCCGAAATTTATGTCAGAGGCCCGCTCGAGAAAGAAAGGGAGAGAGAGAGAGAGAGAGAGAGAGAGAGAGGTGAGAGGAGGAGAGTGAGAGTGAGGTAGAGTGAGAGTGGAGAGGAGAGTGAGAGTGAGAGAGTGAGAGTGAGAGTGAGAGTGAGAGTGAGAGTGAGAGAGAGTGAGAGTGAGAGTGAGAGTGAGAGTGAGAGTGAGAGTGGAGTGAGAGTGAGAAGAGAGAGAGAGAGAGAGAGAGAGAGAGAGAGGAGAGAGAGAGAGAGAGGAGAGAGAGAGAGAGAGAGAGAGAGAGAGAGAGAGAGAGAGAGAGAGAGAGAGAGAGAAGAGAGAGAGAGAGAGAGAGGAAAGAGAGGTCCTAATCTACATAATCGGACGAGCCTGCTTCAAAAAGTGCCTGCTGGGACACCACGGGTGAGGGGTAGGCCTGGGGCCCCATGTGGACGGGGCCCGGGCCCCCTGGGTGGATGGGACCCGGTCTCCCCGTGGATGGGTCCGGGGGCCGGGAGAACGGGCCCCGAGCCCCGGGTGGACGGGGCCCGGGGTCATCAAAGGCCAGTGCGGGGTCGTCAAAGGCCAGTTCGGAACCTCTGAGATGGTGTGAGCCCTTGAGGCCAGCGTTGGTCCTTGAGAGGTCAATGTGGGACCCCTTGACTGGTATGGGCCCTAAGAGACATGTGTGGTGCCAATGCGACCCAAAATAGACACAACTAACGACATGGGGCTCTCAGAGACTAGCAGCGGCCCTTAAAAACCTGCACGGGCCAAACAGATCGACAGGGGCCCTCCGAGATCGGCAGAGAATAAGAAGATAGCATGGCGCCTATGATGGGCAGGCCCGGGCTCTCAAAGATCAATGTTTCACATCCAAATCAGCTGAACATGGCGGCACTCTGACATAATTTTCGGGTGACCTATAGCAGCTACGCAGATTCTCTTTGTACACAGGATGTCAAATCGATGCAGCCGAAGGTACTGAAAATTTCGTGTCGATACGTCCGGCGGTTAGGAAGATATTGAAACATCAGCATTTTATCAAACAACAAAACGTTCAATAAAAACAAAGGACACAATATGGTACGAAAATATATTTTCTTGTGATACTGTTGCATGCTTACCAAATATGAGAGGAAACCCCAAAAAAATAGCTAAATGTCGCACCAAAGGAATGGTTTAACTTTTTCAGTAAGTGTTCAGCTAGCTAAAGCAAAGTCTATCATAGCGGTTGTTTCTCACAAAAACACAATTTTCAGGTAGAAACATTCACATGGCGACATATAAATAAAATAAATATCAATTAACTGGGCTACATATCTACCCCGATGTTATCCCCCAAGCAGGCAGTAAACTTGTGACACACAGAAATCAGATCACAACGTGCTGAGCACACGTTTCCGCGTGACGCGTTACACTGCTTCTCAGGTAACTTCAAACGCTTGCAGGACCGTCTATAAGGACCGTCTACGCTTGCAGACCGTTTATAATTGATACACACGGTAAAGTGAATCATTATTATTAATTGTAAAAGATAGCCTCTCTAGTCACCTCATCGCTAAGAAATATTGCCAGCACACAGCTACTCTGACCAAAAATAAGCTAGCTTTAAGAATTAACTAAAAAAGGAACTGTCCAGCTACCCTATTTGCAGCAGACAGAATCGAATCGAGGATAATGAGCAGCGGTGTAAAAACTGGGCACATTATCTGACAGTGTTGACCACAGCACTAGCCGGGTTCAGTCACAACAGGCTTTCACAGTCTCGGTCGACACTGCTGTAACAATGGCAACAATAACGGCCGAGGTAGACCAGCATCGATCAAATACTGCGTATGATTCCGTTCACAGCCCAGTCCCACGCCCAACAACCAACCAAACAATGTAGGAAACCACGAGCCCACACACCCCACTTATTACCTATCCACTAAATCACCACTTTCCGCGTCTGACTTTGCGTCCGGCCCACTGTCGCTGTCGACTAAACCAGCTGCCAGGACGTCATCTCATCGTCTATGACCCCGGCTCACTAGTCCGTCCACTCAGCTCGCTGCTCTCCACTAACGTCCCCTGATCTGTGACGTCTGTCCTACTCCCAGCCGACACATGGGTGGGTTCACTCCGTCCCTTATCTGGCTCCTGCTCCACCATGTCTCTCCTGCCACCAACCGACACCTGAGTGGGCTCATCGTCAATCACCTGCACCAGCGGCTCAACCAGCTGCGGACCAGAAGCGCCCAGACGAATCTCGTCAATAGGCAGCTCCTGAGGTTCGCGATGTGCGCTGGGTGTCCGCAGTCTCACCAAGTCATCACCGTTGAAGTTGCGGACGAAGTCGTCCTCCGCCTGTTCGTGACGCGCGGTGGCGGGGCTGCGCTCGGTCTCGTCGCCGATCTTTTGAACGTACTCGCGGGTCGCCCACACGTACACATCCAGCGTTTTCTCGGCGCATTCCGCGATGAAGCGCACGAAAGGCCGCACGTCACCCTCATTCGCCAGCTGCAGGGTACGGTAGTAGATGTAGCGATCCTGTTTCCGGATGATGACCGGAGGATAGCCGGCCTGCATCATGATCAGGTTCATCAGCAGACGCGAGGTGCGCCCGTTGCCGTCGGAGAATGGGTGGATGAAGACCAGCTTGTAGTGCGCCAGCGCTGCGTATTTGACGGGGTGGAGTGATAACGTTTCAGGAGCGTTCAGCCACTCGATGAAGCTCTCCAGAAGAGTGTGGATGCGTCCGGGCGGCGGCGGCACGTGCTCGCTAACGTACACCTGGTTGGTGCGCAGCTCGCCAGCCGCGGTCGGATCGGCGTGGCCCATCACCCGGCGGTGGATCTGCAGCAGATCGTCGAGCGTTATCGCACCGACGCGGTTCACCAGCGTGGTGTTGATGTACTTGATGGCCGCGTCCAGGCCCAGGATTTCGTTGTGCTCCATGACGCTGCGTCCGCCGACCGCCATGCGAGTCTCCACTATGGTTCTCGTCTCGGCCAGCGTCATCGTGTTTCCCTCAATGCCGGCCGTGTGGTGGATCTGCTGAAAGTACGCCTCCTTCTTTATCCGCAGCGCCGCGCTTGACTCCGGAATCGCCGCGAGCTCATCTCGCTTGCGGTCGATGCGCTCTAGCTGCGACAGATCATTCTGTTCTACGCGGCTGCGTGCGCTGGCGGTTCTGCAGGGCGCGAGAGTGGTCCGGTGCGAAGATGAGCGCGCGCGTATACAGGTGGTTGGCGCGGGTGACGTCGGATCGCTCGAGGAACTCGCCATACTCAGTCAGCACGTCCGGGTGCCGCGGACTGAGCGCCAGCGCGTGCTCAAACAGCTTGCCGGCCTTTTCGAGCTTGCCGAGCCGACACATCTGTGTAGCAGCCTGCAGAGTGTTCCGAGCCTCGTGTTCTTCTTTTTGAACTGTCAGAAAGAATGGAAATAGTTGTCAGCTGAGCTGTTGTCAGCGGGCGTGTTAGCAGTCTCCTCGGACGAAGAACATTCTACGTCGTCCGGCCAATCCCGTTCGATAACCGCAGCCCAGCGCTCGCTGACCCCGAACGGCATTGACCGGACGACGCAGAATCTTGTCGTGTGGGAGACTCCGAATCCGGGTATATTCAGCCAGCTGGCAACTGGCGAGAGAGGGCCATGCCAGGCCCAGGAGGACCGTGCTGTCATCTACTTGCACTACATTTAACTTTCTATTCAAATTATTACAGGTGAACCGGGTGCGAGCGGGGTCGGGTAGTGGGTCCATGGTGTCATTCACAACAAGCACTGCTTAGTGGGGCATCTGGAAACACAGTCACTCATTAAACCATTTATAGTTCGTTTTTTTTTTTCAAAAGGACGCTGGCTCCAAGTATGTTTTTCGAACAAGCACGTGTTTAGCGAGCAAAACGAGCAAAAACTGAACCTGAGAAAATCGAACGTAGACTTATTTTAACATGTGATTTCTTCCCGAAAATTTCTATATGTGCGTTTTGGAACCAGATATGGGAACAGTGGTGACGTCATGCTGTCGAACATGTTTTGCAATGTAACGTATAACTATCATGGACGGAACCGCTTACTCGATTATAAGCTCGGCAACAGTGAAAAACTAAGTTTCACCAAATTCGTTGACACTTATCCCATTGCACGGACATTTGGGTGCCTGCTGCCACCAGTGACGTCATCAAAGTATGTTCATTTTTAAGAAACAATTTCCAGCTACTTACCGTGCACAATTTGAAATCGATTATTTTTTCAACTGACCATTTTCAACTGACCATCAACTGACCATCAGACCATTTCCTCGTGCAGCGGTGTGCAGCAGGGTGACCCACTCGGCCCGGCGGCTTTCGCGCTGGCTCTAGACCCGATCATCAGAAGAATGCAGTCACCACTAAATGTGTGGTACCTCGACGATGGGACCATCGGAGGTCCGGCTGACCTAGTCGCCGCCGACTTAGCAGTCCTGGCGACAGCCCTGCCTACAATCGGTCTCCAACTGAACGCCAACAAGTGCGAGGTCGCATTTGCCGGTCCAACGCCGCCACCATCACTTTTGGAGTCGCTACGAGGTACTCTCCCAGGACTGAAGGAGACTCTAGCAAGCGATCTCTCCCTCCTAGGATCTCCCTTGACCGACGCTGCGCTGCCTGTCGCCACCACCAGGGCTGCGGCCGTCATAGACCGGATGTGTGCCCGGATCAGCAACCTTGACGCTCACTCCGGTCTATTCCTTTTGGCACACTACACGGCCCCCCGGCTAACCTACCTTCTGCGGTCGCGCGCCGCTGTATCGTGAGCCGGGGCCGCTGCTGAATGTCGACAAGACAGTGCGGGAGACCCTCGCCACCGTCACCAACGTCACCATCAATGATGAAGCGTGGGAGCAGGCTTCCCTACCACTGCGTTTTGGAGGACTTGGAGTCCGGTCGGTGATGGCATTGGCCCTGCCGTGTCACATGGCATCCCTCCACGCTTGTCTGCCACTGACGCAAGAGATTCTCCATGCCACCGAGCCTCGCCAGTCGACCCAAGCACTCCAGCGTGCCAGGGCCGATATTGTCGCCAAGCTCGGTGAAGCCGCTCGTCAGGTGCCCCAGTCAGAAGAGTGCAAACAGCGTGCTTGGGATGAGACGTTCTGTAAGATGTCTCAGAAGCGTCTGCTGGACGGGGCAAACCAGGTGGCCCGGGCGCGTCTTCTGGCTGCTGCAGAGCCCCACACTGCCGCTTGGGTGCAAGCACTCCCCATCACCAGTGTGGGACTCCATCTGGATGATGAAACAGTGCGGGTAGCAGTGGCGCTGCGACTCGGGGCGTCGGTATGTGAACCGCATAACTGTCAGCTCTGCCATCGCCCCGTTGACCGACTGGGCCACCACGGTCTCTCCTGTACCAAGAGTGCTGGCCGCCACGCGCGTCACGCTAACCTCAATGACGTGCTGCGGCGGGCACTCAGCAGTACAGGGCTCGAGTGTTTTGGAGCCCACCGGCCTCGACAGAGGTGACGGTCGACGTCCTGACGGGATAACGCTCTTCCCTTTCAGCCGAGGAATGAGCCTTATATGGGACGCCACCTGCTGTGACACCTTCTCAGCAACTGCCGTCATCAGCTCTGCCTTAAATCCCGGCAGCGCCGCCCGCTGTGCAGAAGAACGCAAGCGCGCCCGCTATGCCGCTCTCCGTGAGAGATATGTGTTCATTCCTTTTGCGGTTGAGACTTCTGGTGTCCTGGGTCCGGCGGCCACAGGTCTCATGAAGGAGCTTGGCCGTCGGCTGACGTGCCGCACCGGGGACAAACGAGAAACAGTCTGGCTGGCACAAAGGGTTTCAATCGCTGTGGCAAGGGGCAACGCTGCCTCCGTGCTGGCCACAGCTAAACCAGCAGCGGCCAACAGACCGGGACCGTCACCGACGCCATCGTCCAGGCTGACCCCGAGCATGAGCACTCCGTCAATCGAGGCACCGGATGACGAGTCTGCTGCGGGGCCGCCGCTGGACTCAGTGGCTGACCCACCGGACCACCCACACCACTGACCCCTGCGGACGGCTGTCGAGAGGAGCTGCGCATGACACGCTCGCGGTCCTCTTCCCTGTGCTGTCCCGGAGCGTGCGCGTGTCCGACTCTCAACAGCAGGTCCAGGATTTAGCGGACCGTGGCCTGCTCAATGCTCATGCAAAGTGTGAATGTTGTATGCGTTCTGCTCTACACGTAGGCAGTTGATCGCTTTAAAGATGATGCTGTGCCGATGCCGAATGGATGGGCTCATGCTTATACAACTCTTCTCTAAAATATACATTTCATGCTTTTTTTTTTCGGTAATAAATTCTTGGCCAGACACTGAAGATGCCAAAACTCACGTGAGAGCTTCGATATTGAACTTTGAGCCAGCGTCCTTTTGAATAAAAACGAACTATAGCCAAAATTTCTATATAGAACTAAACAAAAACTCCCTTGGGACAATCACATTTGTTCATGATGGTGAAGAAAACCGGAACTAACAAAGACATTACTACTTATTCACAAACTTCTTTTGTGATAACAAAACAGGATATTGACAATTATGACAGGACAAACCTGACCGTAAATGATGGGCTCAATAAACATTCAATAAACTGAGTAAATTGAAGCCCATTGATGTGCAGAGCATAGGAGATATTGAAACTGAGCATGACATCATAAAGTTCCTATGATGGCATAAAGTGGAGCATACTGTCATATGTATAGAAAAGATAGTTGATGAACATATGAAAATAGAGCTCAAAAACATAACTTAAGAGTAATTTCCACTCTTAATGCAGTTTTGGAATGCAGCTGGTTTACCAACCAGGTGAGCTTTCAATTTTTCAGTTTTTTTTTCTAGATTCAGGAGTTCAGTCTAACAACAGACCAATTTCAATGAATTTTATCAACAACATTTGTTAGTACCTACTACCTACCTATTGAAAGGACCAAAAATTAATTGGTGGGTATTCCAAAAAGTACATGCAACATTGAACAGCTAGTACATGAAACAGCATGACCTGAAAGAGATGGGTCTGATATTAGTCATTTTCAGAAAAGATCAAACAACACTGAGGAGACTGGACAAGTTCCATTTTCAGATAACCCCTGGGACATCACTTGGAGGAAATATGCAGTTCACAATAAAACTATTGATAAATAAAGGCAAAGCAGGAAGGATTAAAAAATGAATACTTTTAATCAAAAAATAAATGTAAAAACAATACAGCTTTTATCAGTATAAGTATGTGAAAATGAGGTCCAAGCGGTGCCTATGCAGGCTGGTAGGTTGGTACCTGCCTAAGTTTGACGATGGTGAAAACCTGAAAAAAAATCTCCTGGGGCGATTTGATCAAGGTTTGTGAAATTCACACGTGACATTTAGCATGTAGAAGGCTGACGGAGGGGGAGAAGCTCCAAATGTCACTTGACTAATATGCCCTCCGGCGCCCTGTTTTCACCGGCGTCCCCTAAGTTGTAGGATGGTAGGTAGGTAGTAGGCTCGTAGCCAGTAGGTTGTAGGTATGTAGGTTGTAAGTTTGCAGGTTGAAGGTTAATAAGTTCAGTAGGTACCTAAGGTTAGGTCAAATAAAATTGTTTTTTATTTACTTGGACTTAATCTTCACTTTTAACTACTTCAACTACACCTTTTCTCTACAGTGTAGGGCTCTGTCCTACTCTTCTAAAGTTACTTCAGGAATTCATATCAATATTCCTCTGGATTTTAAGTCAACAAATGCCTTCTTTGGTTTCCTTGTATCCAGATGTGCAGTGTGCACCCTTACATTTTATTTACGACAGCCTGAGAACACTGTCAGCTTCAGCGGACCTAGAGCAAGGCTGGAAGGGAAGTTAACTTTTTTTCCAAATGATAGGCATTCTGGAGACCTTTGACATTAGATTACTGATATGGGCTAAGCCCAAAACACACAGAAATATGCCCACAAACTAATTCAAAGACAAAACATTGACATTCACAGCAGGTCATGTGTAAAATACCTTGGTACTGAAATACTTACTCTCTTGGTCAGTCTTGGAATTTTTAGGTGCCAAATCAGTTCCAGGGTTGAACTTATTATTAAAAACATCACTTTGAAGATAAAGGTCATCTTCAACTGGAATAAATGAGACCCTTGACTTGGCACCAAATCCCAAATTTGCCCATAGCTGTACAGAGTCAAAAATACAAGAACACAAAAACGAAACAAATATTCCCAGAATAAAAACTACTAAAAGTGTTATCTTTGACATCGTTTAATTAAATACGACATTCCACACAATTTAACCCACACGGACATAATTTGTTTTCAGTGCATCAAAACAAGTGTAAAAGTTTACGTGCAAGTTTACGGCTCGTTTTTTGTTTCGCAGTCAGCGCAGCGTCAAAGCCAGGAAAAACTAGCGCAGAAATCTCTAGCTGAAAAGAAACAAGCAATATTGTCCCAAGAATAGGCCAATGTAGCTTCTTGTAAATGCGATTTTGATGCTCCATTGATCATAGAGGATCTGGTTGATCTGGATTAGGATGATATCGGATGTCTAGATGTTATCCCTCGAAATTAGTTAAAAGTAGGTGCTTATTTTATGTCTGCACACATTTGTTTCAGCTGCAATAGGTTCGTAGTTAGGCATTCATAACACTTCTTATTTAATACACGCAATTCTAAGCATTTTTTGAAAATGTATGGAAAGCCATAATGCAAGAAAGGACATAAACATCATACGAACTGTCAAAATACCGTTCTCTGAAGATAAATGTTCCTTTCTGGATTCTGGATGACCACTAGTGCTGCTCAGTGCGTTCTTATTGTTAATTCATCATTTCTGTAAGTCAAAATGCAAGTTGCATTTCGACTTTGGTCTTTTCTCGAGACCGTTTGTGACCGTTTGATGTAGTTAGGAGTATAAGACCGTTTTCAGTGTTGCTTGAGATGTTTCACAAATTTCCTGGAAATATAGGGAATTACGTTGTGTTTTTCTTGCTTGCGGAGCTTTCTGTACTTCTAAAAAATATACATGTGTCTCAAATATAGACATGTCTGCGCGCAGACGTGACAGTTCGGTCGAAAATTGGCATTCAATGATCGTGTATATTTGTCGTAGCTATTAAAGGAAATAGTTCACTTTCACGAAATTATTTTTTTGCAACGATTTATGATTTTTTTATGTTCAAAATAATCAGCAAAAAAATAAAACCTTTTTATAACAAAAGATTTTTTTTCTATATTTTGATATAGGAAGAACTTTTCAGTTTCTGTAAGGCACACGCGATCCAGTATGAAAAGAGCATGGGTCCCGAAAATTCTTCAGAAACAGAGAAATTATCGCAGCCACCGGCATTTGGGCGATCTGCTCGATCTGATAATGTTCCCCTGAATGTCCTAATTGATCAGTACGAGAACTTCTCTAGAGTTCTCGTAGATAATTTCTCTAGTTTCTGAAGAATTTTCGGGACCCATGCTCTTTTCATACTGGATGGAAATATATGCAAGGCACACATCCTCAACGCAAGACACCTTTTTCGGGACGAGAAATAGAATATCTTTGCCTAGGGTGATCGTTGGGCTGTAAAAGCTCCTGATTTATGCTCGTCTCAGCCTAAGCTACGGAACTGCTATTCCAGTTCAAAACCCATGTTAAAAAGTGAACTATTTCCTTTAACGTTGCGGACAAAACTTAGGCTTATGACGTAACGACTTTTCTTATGATTTTCAACAGCCTTATGCCTTTTGTAGCGACAAAAGCGGGTCTTGCGCCACGCAACTGTCCTTCCCGTGACTCGTAAGTTAGTGGATAAGGCGTCTGTCTTCTAACTCGGTGGCAGCGAGTTGGCGCCCGGGAATTTCCCCACGTCGTTTGACCCGTTTGACCCTCGTGTCTATGCCTATAATAAGCCAGCTGGCAACTGACGAGAGAGGGCCACGCTCAGGGGTGTAATTTTCCTAAAGTGATTGTGGGTGCCAAGCTGTAGGGGCGCCAAGCCGCTTTGGGGCGCAATGGATATAATTTATGTGGGGGCCTGTGGGGGCCGAATTTGATAACATTGCAAGCCGAAGGGCGCTTCAAGCGACATGCCTGACTAAGCAAATACACGGTTAAAAGTGTAAAGTGGCTGGAAGGGCGTAAAAAATGTAAAGGGGCGCCAAACGGTTACGAGGGCGTCATGAGACCATTAAAGGGCGCCATTCTCCTAGAAGGGCGCCGAGTGATTGAAAACATTACATGGTCCAGGGGCGCTGAGATGCCAGAAGGGCGCCGAACAGTCAGCAGCGCTAAGTTGGTGGGGACGTAGGGGCGCCAGACGGTTACGAGGGCGCCGTGAGACCATAAAAAGGGGGCCATTCTCCTAGAAGGGCGCCGAGTGATTGAAAACGCTATGTGGTCACCAGGGGCGCTGAGAGACCAGAAGGGCGCCGAACAGTCGAGGGATGCACGGTGGACAGAGACATAAGGACGCGAAACAGTCAGAGGGCGCCGTTAGATCATGAGAAAGGCGCGGTGCTGTCAAAAGGGCGCCATTCTTCCAGAAACGCGCCGAGTGATAAAAAACGCTATATTATACAGGAACGCGAGACGATCAGGTCACCGTTAGAGCATGCGAAGGGCCCGTGCTTTCGAAAGGACGCTTGTAAAAGACTTGTGGATGCATTTTCATCATTGCGGGAGCATAATGCAGGATTGTGGGTGCATCTGCTCCCACAAAGAGATATGAAATTACACCCCTGGCCACGCTAGAACCGGTAGGACCGTGCCGCAATCCACCTGCGGTACGTTAAGCTTCCGATTCAATATCACCGGTCACCCGAGGGCGGCAAGGTGGGTCCGTGGCAGGGCCTCGTCTAAGGAATTTTCACTGGGGGGGCCAGAGACTGAATGAGCCAAACCTAGGGTACCCCCAAATCCTGTTTTCTCACCGGATTTAGACCACTCATTTTTCATCACAGCCCTGACACCATAAATTTTTTTTTTTGAAAACTAAAAAAAAGTAGGCCATCCGACCCATGCTTGTATACCTATTAGTTTATAGCCTCCTCACATTGCCCCATCAGACAATAATAATCACACTTCTCGTTGAGCATGTGATTGAGTGGCAGTGCCTTGTCTAAGGAATTTGCATGCCGTGCCTTATGTCGAGGGCCCACACGCATATATATTTTTTTGCGAACCACATCGGTTTCTGATGGGCCCCGCTAAGCGCTCGCCGATCTCTGAGTGCTAATGCCAACTTCTGGACCTATACTTCGGCCTCTATGGTAGCCATAGCCAACACTGGTTTTATATGATCCATACCACTACCAGGCTTTAAGGGTCAATCTGAGAGTGGAGACCGTATTTTCCCACTAGGGCCCCCTCAGACCAGTGTAATGCCTGTGTATCAACTTGGAGACTGATGGCTTCTCAGGTGGATTCTCCGTAATCGCCGTTGATCTTCAACACAACCCCCCTGGGTGGTCGTCAGAGGCTATAAACTAAACAAAAATGAAGATTACCCCGTGTAGTAGTGCTCTGAGGCCCGTTGGGACCCTAAATGGCTGGCATTTGCCCTCCATGACTCCATGCCGACTTCTTTAGATAATCCAGCTGTCAGAGTTCCCGTCCCCACAGACAGACCACCAATCTGGCATCTGCGCCTACGTACGACCACCCAGAATGGGAGCCTGCTTCATTACGATTAGGAGCTACTCTAGCCGCACACCGGTGACCGTCCAGCCAGAAGTTGGACGCCGCATAGCGAGGACGACGATAGGCAAAAACAAGAGATTGACGCCCCGAGGACAGAAACAATTCAGATTGATACCTAAAGGAGAAATTTCGCCGGTAGAGCCTTGGACTCCGCGTGGTGAGGGCACGCGTCCCAGTTATAACAGTCAGTGACGTACCCAAAGGGGGGGGCACGGGGGCCATGGCCCCCTCCTGAGCGCCGAAGGCGCTCAGGGGCCCCTCAAGCCCGGTATATTTTTTCAAACACTGGATAAAACGTCTTTTACTAGGAAGAAAAAAATGATATCAAAGTTTCATTTATGTGCCCCTGGTTACCCGAGGGGCCCCTGATGACCCGATGGGCCCCTGCAGTCATCCGAGGGCCCCGGTTTCCTGGGCTCCTGGTCGCCTAAGGGGCCCCTGGTAGCCGGGGCTTGGTTGCATGGGGGCCCCTGATTGCCTGGGGTCTAGTCACCTAGTCGCCCCCTAGTCGCCTAGGGGGCCCTGGTAGCCGGGGCCTGGTCGCATGGGGCCTCTGGTCGCATGGACCCCTGATCGCCTGGGGCCCCTAGTCGCCAGGGGGCCCCTGGTAGCGGGGGCCTGGTCACATGGGGGCCCCTGGTTGCCTGGGGCCCCTGAGGGCCCTTAGTTGCCTGGGGCCCCTGGTCGGCTGGTCGCCTGGGCGGCCTGGGGCCCCGGGTGACCTAAGGGCCCCTTCGGAAGCAGGTGGCCCCCTCCTGGGCGAAATCCTGGGTACGTGCCTGATAACAGTCCGCGTTCGAAGCGCGACATCGCTCGATCTTTATGAGCCTCCTGGCGAGTAGGGGAGAGTGGGGCAAAGCGGCCACCCTAACGTTTCTAACGATGCCGACGCTTGATTTTTAAACTTGGAAAGATTCTTTCTATACCAATGTGATCCCTATTAAATTGTCTTTTATTCCAACTGCGTTTCATTTCCAAAGGCGTTCACATATGGGAGATATTGACAAAACTTTAAACCTATAGCATATTGGCCACTTTGCCCCATCCCTGAGGCAAAGCGGCCACTGGCGACTTCTCAAGTCCCGATATGAGAAACAGAATAGTTGCCTCATG